GATGAGAAGAATGAATGATGTAGAGTTTCGACATTTCAAGAACACAAGGTCTGAAGTAGTAGTGATTTCCAGTATTATACCGAACGAATATGGTTCATTGATCCCTGGCGGTCAAAATACATTTATAAAATGTGCATAACCTATATTTGTGAAATCTCAATGAATAGGAAATAAATTTCCTAACTTTTTGTGACTTAATGTGACTAAAATTACGTAAACAAATCAATTTAACACCAGTATAAAGGAAACAAAGCGAAATGTTCCTTAAGTATAATTACGATTGATTTAGGTCCGATCATGTTAATATCAAGTCATTTTGTTCAATGTGAAAACTATTTGTGAATGTGATCATTGTAGTATGGAAGTATGAAGTTGGAAATATTTGAGAGTATTAGAGTAAATGATCGTTCTTAGTGGTTACTTCATCAGACTATAAATCAGTTATAAACCCAAAACGACTACTACTATGTTGCAATATTTGCATGTTTCGTTAATGGTGTGAGACGTAAATAGGATTAATACGTGGGTACTTAAATAGATGTCCATGTTGGAAGGGTGACTAGGTATTCCTTTCTAACTGTGGCGGGGTTTAGCAATATATGAAGAGCTCCAGATACTCACTTTCTTTATAATTGGATAAACCATTTAAATTATTCTGAGATCATATACATATCGATTTGACATCTGTTAGAAATAACATGGACTACTATTGATTTGTAAACCTATTCGTACATGATTATTTGGCCTTTTAATGTACGTTAGATTTTCTTTGGAGTGGGTTGAGATTGCACGAGAATAATAACATCGAATGCATTATAGTCAACATATCCCGATCTGTAGACGCAGAACTGAGTTGTGACAGAGATCTTTCATGTAAACTATACAATTTCGGAGTGTTTGTTGTTTTAATTTAATGACATGCCTAATGACCAATGCATTCAAAACTTTCAACTGAGATCTTGGTAATGGTACATGTGCATAACCCGTTCAAGTAATCAAAACTAGAGATTCTAGATAGCCAATCATATTAACTAAGCGATGAACAGGAATAAGCTATTTGATCAGAAAATGAGTGTTGTAACTAAATATGAGCTATTCTTTTAATTGGCGAGGAATAGAAATGTTTGTACCAACATGTTGCACACCAGATGTTTTACAGCTAGACATTAGCTGTTACAACACACACTAAGCGTAGATTGATGTGTAACAATACCAGTTATTGAGATTCGGATAACCTATAAAGGATGTGTATGCCCCATGTTAACATATACTGATTATCAAATTGTATATCGCAATATAGGAAGACGATATTGACATACTCTTTTATGCAATACGCTGCACCAAGTTCAGATTCGTGAACAGAAACGATGGAAATAAACGAGCTCAAATTACGTGTGTTTTAGAACAGCTGATGGTAGTACAGTCCTCCCCGTCTGTATTGCCAGTAACCATAGAAGTATAGAACAAGGACTCCGCTGTATTGACCGAATTTCTATTCAACGACTTTCAACTGAAGACGATATATTGCACTGGTTAGGTAGCCCGCCAATAGCAAACGAATCAGTCGTGTAAGTTGGTCTAGACCGATCCATTTCTATTCTGCATACAAATAAAAAATCTACAAATCTCACTTAATACTACCACTTATTCTCTTCGTTTTTATCATTGACCTACAATATAAAGTATACAAACCTAAATGGTTGCGCTTAAAATACGCAGAAATAGAGAACAAGGACAATTAGGATGCCTAGTCTATCTACAACATACCTACGAGTATGTATTCGACAATTTACAACGGCTAGAATGATATAACAGCCGGAGTCAGAGGCAAACATTGAGGACAATGGTTTGCAGTCTCCATACCTGAATACGTAAGTACCAATTTGGAAAATTGGACAAAACCCATCATATTTGTAAAAATAAAGAAACCTCTTTTACAAATAAGCGTTAGTCTCAAACTGGAAGTAGAAAAAGGTCGAACTTAGAACTGAGATTTCGAAAAACAAATCTCCGTACGGGTGGAAACTAGAATATACGAGCAATGAATTCTTAAGAACTGTGAAATAGCCTGTGCGTATAAGTCATACATTCATCGAATAATAATAATTTATATTCTGAAAATAATAATTACAGAGTGAATGGATTTGCAGAAAGCCATAAAAGTACATTTGGTCTATCGATCGCACTTGTAATAAACTAGCAGAGATTATACTCAACCATTCCAGAACGAATTAAAATCGATTGATGATCTGAGTCAAGTAAGTACAGACTTGAAATATTATTGAACATTAGAAACTACTATAGTGACGGAAAAAATACAAAGTCTAGACATACAGGTTTAGCGACAAACTGTTAAATATGTCAAGACCTAATAAATACAAAGAATATGTGCTCTTAATCAGATAACAATCCTATTTTATATTGGTCCAATGGGCAGTTAAAAGAGATCGATTTTAATCGGCCGTCCAGTCTTAGTCTTGATTTTGGTTGGTCTAAAGTACACCTAATAGATTGTCTAAAAACAGAAACCCGACTCTAAACTTCTAGTGACACCATAGTAACAGGTCCTAGCGAAAGGTCGTCAAATTATGCATTTGGAGATGGTAAAGAATACTTGTAACTCAGGATGATGGTTTGTTCTCTTAAGTTTAAAGAACAGAATACCCCAGAGTAACTGAATTCAATGTTGTTATGACCATTCGTTTAAATAGAACAGAATAAAAGTGAATCAGGTGGAAACATACGACCACTATACCCCCTAAAATACACAAGTCCAATAGTGTTCCTGAGAAAAAACGACATACCATTAACTAGAAAAAGATTCCCAATCCAAAAATTAAAAAAATTGACAATGTTAGAAAGAACACTTAATATTTTAAATTAACTTGTGCAATAACGAAATTGCGAAATGTACATGTACACTGCCATATAAAAAAACTAAACTTACTTTGCTGGTGGTTGTACTGAAACCAACCAAAACAAAATGGAAAGAGAATGCACATTACAGTATGAAGAAACAGAATTAAGTAATAGCGAAGAAATAATATTGGCTTCTCACATATCGACTATTTACGGAAATGGATTTTAAATCAAGTTATGTAGCAATAAAGTTTGGGAAATTTACGTGAGGAAAAACGCATGATCAAGTTGAACACACACGGTGGGTGTGTGTAGACACCAAGATAAATCCTTAGAAAAACATTTTTGAGACTTACAATCGGTGAAATAATAACAATAGTTGAATGAAAGCACTTTATATATATAAATAATCACAAATTCAGCGAGACTCGAAACGAAAAAAATGTATCTATACTGCAACCTATTTCATACTGAGAACCCAGTAAGATATCACCTTAGCAATTTGAAACAGGGATTTCAAAACACTCCGATTGTGCATAATCATTTATATCAGAGTAGACTACCATTAAATTCGAAAAGCGGTTTACTTTAGGATAAAACATAACGCTTAACAAATGACAATAACAAAAAAATACATACAAGTATACAAAAAACAATAAGGAAAATTTACAACTGTTTCTGTACAGATAGAAGAGAAAAGAAAAATAATTAATTATTTGCTTCTAGTACAAAACGAATTATTATGAAGTATTTTGAAAACATATATTATTTATTATACTATATGGGTAACTGCTGCTATATAGATTTAGAGATAAGACAAGTTATGAATCCATGTTGCTAAAATTTGCATATATATATATATATATATATATATATATATATATATATATATATATATATATATATATATATATATATGTCTTATTAAATTTTTCTGCCACTACATCCTTATCCATATGCATATGGATGAACGAACTGTGAGTGTGCGTTCCCGTTTATAGATACGTAAAAATTCCGACCTCCTATCAATAGCAATTTTTAACAAGACAAGCAATGTAGGAATATACTGCAACAAAAGAAAAAGGATTCTTAGGACAGAATAATAATCATTTGAATAATACTAATACACTGTTTTAAAATATTACGCAAAAATGAGAGATTTTTAGAAGCAAGCAGAAGACGAGAGCTTAGATCTATATGAGTTATCGTAACTAATATATAACTACAACTATTAAATTGCTAATTTAATAAGCATCTTGGATTTGTTGCAAAACAACATTAAGTGAGACGTATGTACATATACAATAGATTAATTTTTAACGAAGTAGTATGAAAGGGAAAACATAAGACAGGAGAAACAAAGATCAGATAGTATGAATCACAGACAAAAATGAAAAGATATAGAAAAATAAACAAAAACAGGGGATTGATTTACATGTGTATATCTATGCATACATATACGATTGTGTATTTGTGCGTGTGGACTATCGAACACACTGAAGAATGTTAAAGTAACAACAAAACAAATATACTTAAATGAGCGCAACAAAGCACAAATATCAGACAAGAGGATTGAAGGAGTGAGATACAGGATACATTATGTTACTTGCGCTTCACAGCACTAATATCATAAACGAAGTTAATAATTGCAGTGAACTAAGGAAAATTCACCAATCTGCAAATGATCAGTTTAAGAAAGAAATATTAAATCTATCTAGAAGTATCAGTAATGAAATAAATTTATTGGCTCCTGGGTTTAGTGTAATCCTAGGTCTGTCAAGAAAGAATAGTTATGATAAAGCTCATAATTACTAGTTTTAGTATCATTAGTTCTACTTACAATAATGATAAAATACCAAGAACGCGTTATTATCACAATGCCATCATGAGATAAAGAAAGACTATACACTATCAAACATACTATGTAGCGAAAACGATGTGATTGAGCGGCGCTCAACAGTCCAAGAGACTCGGACGCGAATAATAATAATAATAATAACAATAGGATAAAATTGATTCTTCCATCCCTAATACGGCTGCCAAACTTTAAAAAACTTAATTCTTAAAAGTAAGTTGAGAACGACTAGAAATGGGGTTGAAGGGAATGAAACTGAGTTGAAGAGTATATATATATATATATATATATATATATATATATATATATACTTGGTCTATAATATGCTAGCTACGAATTTGTTGTTGCTGTTGTGACTCTGTCCGACGACGGCAATCGCGATTATGCTGAGCTGTCCAGTGTTCAAACTGGCATGTTTCAGAACAGTATGCCGTCCCGGGACAACAGTGGTAGAATGCCTCATTTAAACACACTTGACACCATGTTCGTTGTTTAACTCGTTTAATCTCAGCTTCATGTGCGCGACGAAGTTCAGAGATTAAAATGTCGCGTCGATGAACTTCCTCCCGAGCTTGATCTCTCTCAGTTGTCAAGGCAATAAGTCGATCAGCATATATCCGGTGAATTCGTTCCTACAAACAATGAGATAGAAATGTTTGTGGATTTAAAATGTTGACACTGTGTTGAAATAAATATACATCTAAAAGATGTGCATATGTATATACATATGGTTAGCATTTTAGAAATCACGTTATTAATAAAGAAATTCTTAATAAAGGATATCACAAAAAGTAGATGAAATATTATAAAAGCTGACTTTTTACTGAGGATTCAAACTTAACCAAAACTAGTGTAAGACGTCGTAGGATTAAAGTCAGGAAAGTACAACAGAACTGTCGATAATAAGATATCTATGTTTATTACTTTACTGATTTATTTACCTTACTAAAGTTTAATGCACTAGGTCCTAGGTTGTAAGAAAACATTCCCTGTCTGTCCATTGAATTTCACAAATAAAAACGACTGAAAAAGGACGTTAAAAAGTTTTAGAAAAACACCCTTGACAATTCGCAAGCTGTGTTTATCAAACAGAAACATAAATTAATGTTTGAGTTCAACTAGGTACACTATTAAACCAGTAAATAAACTAATTAATTAACAATCTTCAGAGAGATATGTCTACGTTCGCGAAAGCGAAATTGGATCAAAAGGCTTGTTTAACTTTGGATTTAATGGAAACCCTGATAGGTAGTTAAGAGAGATTTTGTAGGTTACATCAATTTGAATAGCGAAGGTACAACCAAGTCTTTTTATTAACATGGTTTACTTTTCAATCGAGCTTGATGAATCTGGAAAAGAATAAAATTGTCCAAGTCCCTTAAAATTAGGTCTCTTGACTTCTTGATGTCACAAGAGCACTACATAAAGAATAAAAGGGTTAAAACGAAATGATATTTTAGTAAGCTTTGTATTAAAATGAGGACGGAGTTTCTAATGTTTAGTGTGTAAGTGATATCCTTTTGGTGTTGTAACTAATTAAGAGCACGGGTACATGAGACAAGACAGTTGCTGTTTAGATTAATAATCTGAAAATGATTCATTATGTGAGTATATTAGGTGGAACAACACTTGATGTTGTATAAGAGGATTACAAGACAAGTAATATAAAATGATGGTTTCAGTAACAAGAGAATCAAAGAAATTAGTAGGCGACAAATATAGCACTTTTTATAGTATTAAATATTCATCAAAGGAATAGGTAATATAATTGTATATTTCAAAATTAAGACACACCTCAGTTTTTATCATATTGCTATCAGACTGCAAATGAGCAACCAGTCCACTGCCATTGCCTGATGAGCAAGAAAAAGGTGCATTCCCTAGCATAGTTGCTACTTCACCAGGTGATGCGTCTACTGATTTCGGATCACTTAAACTAGAACCTAAACCAGACGTAGACGAAAGAGCAGCTGGTGACACTGAAGAGTAACATGAAGAAGATGCTGAAGAGTTCGAAGGAGGAGTTGGACCGGTGGAGACATTTGCTCCAGTTGGATGAGTAAGCTGAGGCGCTGCAGATGGCTGATCATTAAATGTAGACAATATTTTCGTCCCACTAGACCAGCCAGAAGGATGAACGGTTTTAGAACTGAGTTTGGTATTGGGGCTATCAAAAGCGAAATTTTTGACGGATGAGTTGGGTGCCGAAGAACCCAGAGATTTATTGTCAACAGAATTATTACCATCGCCAGGAATGCGCAGAATTCCGGTTACCTAAAAAAGGAAACGGATAAACAGTTTAGCTGCAAAAACACTGATTTACATACCATACGAACACTATTGTTACTTCGACCTATAACTTGATTTCTTACTAGCCAAACTTCCAAAGACTGACATTTTCCTCATCTCTAAAGAAGCTTGAAAGTAACGTACATGTAGGTTTAGTTAACTTGACTAAGAATGGCGAAAAGTTCCAGCGTTTGTATTTATTAGATTTACCAATCAGATAATAAAACCAATAGCTACGAAATAAACTGTTCAGAAAGGATTGAATGCCATTCAGACCAGAAACGCGAACACCGAGACTTCATACATACACAGGTATTTTACAGTTTAGTAAAAGGCCACGATAGCAATAAGGTAGTTAAAACTAGAAGGAACTTCTTATAAACAAAAACGAAAAAAATAAATGTGATTATTATCATTTTCTAACATGTATGTTGTAAAGATCCTTGGAAAGTTCATTACGATATACATGGAACTCTTTAGAAATCAACAGCAATGTGTCGGTTAACCAAACGTAAGTAGTTTAAAACGAATTGGACATTCTTATTTAGGCATATTTTAAACGAAGCTACACTTTCGACGAACCAACTGATTAGGTAGTCTATGTGAGGATCTTTGACAAGTTTCAAAGTCACAATATAAATTCAAATCAGAATGTAAACGTTTACAATTGAAACTTAAAAGAAAATATTACTTTAGAGGCAGTCATTTATTTAACTTTTTAATTGGTAGTCTTGGTGAATTATTTTTGTCATATTAAATGATACAAGAATTGTTGTGAGCGAGTAACCGCTATCTAAAGTTAGAAATTCATCAAAAGCAAGGGACCTTCAGTAACAAGACCACAACACAGGCATGTACTGACTTGCTAAACAATCTCACCGTTAATTAGAACTAGTGTTTGTACAGACTGCGTAGTGCTTTATGGATAGGACCATGTAAACCATTCGACAAATCCAGTAAATGCTAAGAAATTATTATTATTAGACATATGATCAACCCACTAGATTATTGATTAGATCAAAAAAGTATATGGCAAAAGAGAACCAGTTTGGATCAACTTACCTTCTCAGGTTTTAGACTCTTTTCCGGAGAAACCATACAGAATCCGACGTCTTCATCCTGATAGTCATTATTCAAATCTGTATTTTTGAAAGTATTTATAGCAGTAGATCGCGAAGACGGTCGGAAATGTCCCTTCATTTCCAAGTTATGGCGAGACGACTTAATTGATTTAGTTAATTTGGGAACGTGTTGACTACTATCAGCTTCTTTTGTCCCTTCCTTATTATCACGTGTTTTGAGAGTTAACTGACTTTGGAAAGGTGTTAAGATGTCTTTTGACGACTTTTGCTTGACTCGAGCGGTCGACAGTTCGTCATTTATCTTTGGTTTTAGTGTAGAGAAGGATAACCGTAGAGCAGGAGATGAAAGTGTGGATGTTGAAGACAACGAGGAAGAAGACAACTGAGATGATGATGACACGGTGGAGGATGAAGAAGAAAGAGAAGACAAATCCGACTCTGCATCTGATAAGGATGAAGGCGGTGATAAAGAACACACTGGATGTTGTTTATCTTCATCTGCAACGGTTAGCCTATCTGAACGGATAGGAGAACTTATCGGTATTGTAAGAAGACTATGCTTGTTATTAGCTGGGGGTTCATAGGTATTTCTTGCAGATAACAGTAACGGGGTGGAAGAACAATCATCAGAATTTTCGGTAGCAGATTTGGCGCTCGCTGAAGGCAAAGAGGACTTGGTAGATTTATGAGTCTTAGGCGGACGTCCACGTGATTTCTTGGAAAAATCAGAATATGTTGAAGAGGCCGAAAAAGCTGATGAATCAGGAGGGGTATGGCCACCAGAAGAGGCAAGGGCAGGAACAGTTGTACGGTCCGATGAAGGACCAGATGCAGCAGAGGATGAGGAGGACATGCTGTGTACAGGTTCTGTATGCACGACATGACTGTCAACACAGGTCAATCGAGGGAGAGACTGATTGGTTTCCTTCACAGAAAGAGGAATGTCGTTGTTTTCACTTCTAAAAGGCAACGGCTTAATGCGTATAGTCCGTTGTGTTTTAGCCGCAAAAGACGCTGTTGAAAGCTCGGATGAACTAGAGTCACAGCTTGGAGGGACAGCTGATATGCCATTGGAGAAACTAGGTCTTGAGTGTGCTTCGTTGCATCGCTTTCTTTTATGTGACTTTCTTTTTGTTGGAGTAGGTAAGAGAGGTATCGATAGTTTCATAGACGATTTATTTACACTTGGATTCTCAGGAGTAGGCTCTGAAATGCGGCACTTGGTTTCCGGACCATCACTGTCACTGTTCAGTGACGATAAGGAAGTTAAGTTATCTATAAAAATGAAGTAAAAAATCAGACCACTATTATTATCCGTATCAAATTTATGAATAATTTCAACAAACGAATAAAGTAAGCTAATGATTTAACATCTAATTATGAGATTCACTAATATTTTTGTCTTACTATGAGGCATACTGTTAAAAAACAGTTAGTGATAAGAATGCTTAAGCAAATGTATCTAAACAGTTTACACCGTTTATAACGATGAACTTAATGAACATTTTATTCTGGGAATTCGAATGAAAGGAGTTAAAACCCCTTATCTCAAAACAAATCATCGTGAAATAACTCCGTGTTTAAAAGTGGAGTTGACAGCTTATACAACAGTATATAAATTAAATGCTCTTGTAGGAGTATTAGTGTATATGAACTGTACTTACGACAAAAAACCACTTATTTTTATTAAGATAGGCTGCACAAAGACATGACCTGTGTCAATCGTGTATTGGTCTAAGATGTCACCCTACACCAAACGGAAGTTAACAAAACCAAGAAAACGGATATAGTTATACCAACAGTTGTGAATAACTACCAGAAAGAAAGCAAAAAAGAACCAAAAATAGATGAATTAATAATGTGAAGGGTATAGAATTAATGGGTCCTTATCACAGTCCTTCCATAAAAACTTAGTTCTTGACTGATAGAAGCGACTAGAAATCACATGAAGGTTACTAACAGAACAACAGGGAAAGAGAAAAATCAATGAGCTACTGTTGGATCGATACATTCCTGCCTACTTGTTTATTAGGCTTCAGAAACATAATTTAGTCGGACCTGAACCAAAATTTTTTATGAACATGTGCTATTTAGGAAAACCAATAGGTAACCAATTGTTTTACAATTAAACCAGATGAGAGACTTGTTTATCTGGTTTCGCTAACCAATCAATATCAATGTCTAAGAATAAAAGATCATAGCGATATCAGGACATGTGCACAACGGTTATTAGAAGACGAGATTATGAAAGCGAAGGTAATTTACTTTAAACATGACAAACAAGAGGAGCAATGATTCGTCTATTATAGGAATGAACATTTTGAAAGTCCTTATTGTTTTATTAGAACTGTACCTTGGATACCTAACCTTCCTACTGCCGTTAATACCACTACATCCGCTACCGCTGTAGGATTTAACCTGACAATTCCGTCTCACTATGCTAATGGGATATGACAACCCGAACCGTTGTACACATGTGTCGGGTCCTACGTTACGTCTGACTGACTGACCAACTGAGTTTTGTCAATGTCCTCCGGAAACCAGTGACTAATAAAGATTAGATAGAAAAGAGGAAGTGTGCCCAATTTGGGTACGATGACTATGGATACCAGCTGAAAATGAAAATTTATTTGCAGACTATTTGAGTTAGTTAGAACGGACAATGAAACAGACAACTCATACCTAATTTTAGATTGAAACCTATAACGCAATCATAGATAATGACCGAGAACCTAAAATTGGTAAATTCGATTTCCAAAAACTAATTAATAGAAATAAGAAATTTAGCACATCCCATGAAACCACAAGTGGCAATAAAATTCAGCAAAATGCATAACCCGTTTCCTAAAGGGACTAGCCATGTGTAAAATAGTCACTTTAAATTGTTTGAGTTCCTGAGATCTGAGCTTAAATTTGTATTCTCGAAGAAATCATATTTTCACTTTTTCGACACTCATCATATGCTAGAGAATGGTCTAAAAGCCACGACCAATGAAAGCAATTTGATTTCATCAGATACAAGTGAGGCTCAGACAGTGCTTGATAAAATCTCATAAAAAGTCTGAGACAAATATGAAGGATGTATTAGCTGCACAGACAACAACAGTTTACGAAAACCACCAGTAGACCTAATGAACGTTCGACGTACTAAGCATCTAGAAAATTTTTATAATTGATAAATAATTTTTTGATGAATTGACAGAAAAAGCTGTTAAAAACTTGGTATTTTCCCAGAAAAATTTGAATACGCTAGATTCTACTTAATTTTTACCGACTATGAAAAGAAGCCAATAGCAACTGCTTGAGCTTTAAGATAAATTTAATTAAGAAAGTTTGAAATCTCTTAAACTTCTGAACAACGAGGATTTAAAAGTATGATAACTATTTATTGCTCTAGACTGGAGTTAAAATAATGCACGGGGATACATATAATACAAGTAGTCTTTGTGACTACTCTTACCTTCAGTAACATTCTTCATATTATCTGACCAATGTGAGTCACGTCGAGACGTAGAACGCTGTGACACAGGACACCACACAGGTGAATTTGCTCCAGTGGATTTACGAGATTTGAAAACCTGCATTTCAGGCGATACGTTGAAATCTTCATTGTGAGATCTAGTAGATAGTGGACGCCTACCAGGTCTTTTCTTTTTTAAAGGCGGAGAAGTAGCACTTTTCAGGAATGTTCCATTAGATATAGACTCACTGATTAGATTGTTTCTTATGGAATCTATCGAGATAGGTTCAGCCAGCATCTTGTTTGGCAGATGATCAGAATTCTTCATTTGCTGATCAAAAATAGCTTGGTTTGTTTTGTACTCTTCAGCTTCATTCAGTGCTTTTTTCAAAGGTGGTGTTTCTCGTAAACCAAGTTCATCTGCTGTAAAATTCATATCAAATGCTCTCGCTAGTGGAACAAAAACCCTCTCATGTCGTCCACCAAAGCAAACTACTTCGTAGCCCTCCGTACTCTCATATAACATTTTGCAAGGGCGAAAGGACCACCCATTGTGTTGGAACCAAAGGAGACGATGAGCAACCCGACAAGGTGCTGTTAATTTATTTACTGATGCTGAGTGAAGACGCAAGTAACAATCTATGCAAAAAGATGATTCTCGCAATTCTCGTTCTAGCTGAGATCGTATCTGTCGAGCCATATTGCTCATATCGTTTTTAGAACCGTAAAAAATGGCGGTGTTGTGAATTAGTAAATCCACATCAATCAGAAGGGAGGTTCGATTAGGATAACAATCTTTAGATGATGGATCTGCTCGCATACGTTCGGTTATAAGACGAGTATTAATTTGCCGTAATACGAGGTAGTTATTTCGTAAAGGTTCGTTTAAGTAACCAACAACCTGCATTGTTTTCCAATTGACTTTGTTGCGGATCCGATCAAGGACAACCTGGAAGATTTTATGTAACTCCGATGGGGTGCTAGGATTTGATATATTAGATGCTCGCGACAACCGCTGGCAAACAGGACATGGGCTAGTAGGTGGGAATCCACTAGACATATTTGAATCGGCTTCGGATCCACCAGATTCACAAGGTATAACAGAGGACAGTTGTGATGATAAGGCAACTGGCAAGCAATCGGGGTGGTATACTCTGAAACAAGTTGGACAAGATACAACATGACCTGGTCCGTGACATTCAAAGCAATACCTGAATTGGGAGAAAAACAGATACGGCGTTAGTTGACTAAAAATTGGACAGCACATTTGAAACAAAATAAGTTTTTGTGGTGAGATGATGTTTTTTCTTTACCGAGGCCCAGAAGCTACCACTAATTTCCGAAAAAAGCCAATGACTTAAGAAATGACAATCAGTAAGGCTTGAACCAGAATTAGGGATTGGAGAAACAAAAACACTTAAGATATGTCATAAATGTGCATAGTTCTTAGACGTCAAACCTATCATCAAGATAGCTGGTACAAATCAACTCGGATAGTAGTATGAAATAACGCTGCCTCATATATATATAAGCGATTTTCCCAGTATTTTGACAAAAATGAGGAGACGGATATGTTAACTACTGGAACGAAAAATCCAGTGTTTTGCACTAGTGAACACTATGTTTAGGAATAAAGCCGCTTGGATAGATTTATAGCTTTATATGGTCAACAACCACCTAATTTTAATATTTTAGACACTGATAATGGATTCTAAAAAATGTAGCTGGCAGTTGGTGCTGGTTCACGTTGGTCACATCAATCGACGAAATTACTGTTTGTGAACAGAAATAGCTCGACGGTATCTTGTGCGTCCTTAATCGTCATGTTCTGTAGAACATTTCGTAACAAAAATACTAATCGACCAAATAAGACTAAATTAGTACATGGTAACGAATTGTGGAGCACGTGACTTTACACTACATTGCCGAGAGATAGTTGAATAATCAATATCACTGAGATGGTGGAGGTTTGTAGCTCAGGTGGATGATTTTCATGGAGTTTCGCTACATCATACGTTCTACATTGTTAGTGTGGCGCATATGTATTTGGTACCCCCTTATACCAATGTTTGCGATCAAATAAAGATATAAACGTAGCAGTTACTTCACTTAATACTTGCTCATAGCCTTTTTATCGCTCACTGAAGTATTTAGCCTTTTTAAGTTGGATTCCCACAGATTAGCAACTCGGAGGGAGCAATAATAATCGGATATTTATCTACAAATGACTGACCTCAACCTTTTGACATTGTGCAACAGCAAAAAGGTGCACTGACATCGTATTCACTCGATAAGCGAGACAATATCTTACCCGAGCAATGAGTGACTTAGATTGCTGCATACTAAACATGTCTTCAGCATTCATGTCATATCTTGACATTGAGTAACTACATTTTAACTACTTCTAAGCAGTATTAAGTCAGACAAATGACCCACGACCTGGAAATGGTTGAGACGTCAAGTGATAAACGTTCCCCAAAATAAAAAAAAACGTGACTCGAACAAAAACTAGAATCCTGAAGCATATGCTGCAGAATGTGTAATACTACGGTGACTAATGATTCGTCACGAAAAGCCATTGAATACGTCTAGGGCAGTAATTTCAGGTTTTTTGGGCACGCATTGCAGTTATCTACACCGGGAATTTACACACCACTTCTCAGAGCTAAAAAAAGAGCCAGTTTAGAAAACCGCAAACATACGCGCGTGCCAACTATCACATTGAGATAAAAGATTGTCCATTGCAATGCATGCCAACACAGCTTTTGCTTGAGTGTGAATATTCGAACTTTTCCGAGCTTAAAGGTGAATACACATGAGAATTTCCCTTAGTCCTGTTAACAAACTCATACAGTGAATATTATGTAATATAGTTACGAACTGCCATGTGTTGTCGGATGAAATCGTCAATATACTAAATATCTGTTCTTACTGAGCAAACCTACCTACATTACTACTGTCATCTTATCTTTAGATTCGTCTCCAGAATATTCCGAAAGCCAAGGAGTGGGACAGATGAACTTATGGAATGTACTTATCGTGCAGTCGAGTTACTACTGTTGGAACTAGTGATTTTTTGTCTCACTGTAGGCCCCACAGATACTCGGTGATATTAATAAATTCAAGAGCTTGTTTCCAATAAACAACAAATATTATTACTCACTATTACAATATATATATATATATATATATATATATATATATATATATATATATATATTGGTGGAACTGAGTGTACAAAAGTCATCTCTAGAAGTGACGGAAGCTTTGTTGTGGAGCTAAAGAACAATTCGGCGCAAGATTACGGAGAATTAGTAAAAATGATGTCGCTAAATTGCAAAAAAGACATTGGTGCCTACTCCTCCTCTAGGATGCTTACACCATCCCAGTTTACAAACTAGTAATGCAAAAAGCCGACCAATCCGCAATTAGCTACTACTTCAAGAACTAGAGTTGAGTATTGTTACATAAGCGAATAGTTGTCGCGAAAACAACCACGTGACTACTACCGACCTCTCAGTTTCAGTGTACCAACAAATCCTAAACATCTCAAGCTGTGAGAATTATTGCGCTGTGGTTTTTGGACGTTTTATTATGGAATGTAAGGCCGTGTGTAACGTTTACATAATTTATCACAAGGCTATTTATCCCCTAAAAGAAGTAATACTCAGTTACAACACGAATAACGTTGCCAACTAAAAAAATCACCAGATATTCTGCATAAAAATTATCATACATGTTCACAAGCCTCAAAAGGAAGAATACAGATATTGAATCGAGGCTCAAGCCCAACCTACCAATCATGTTTATCCTTCACTTTGGGCATTGGATCGCGTTTCACATAACAGCGTTGGTTACATTCTATACAACCATCGCTTATAGCGTTTGAGAGTTCGTTTTGCAGTTTTCCTGCAGTGCATCTAGAATCACATTCTCTTTGAATAAAGGACAACAACTCGTGAAAAGAAGATTCGATGGAATCTCTTGAGCATGCTTCAATTGCATTCCATACAAACTGGAGATATACAGGATCAGTATACCTCCTAACTGACATTTCGAATTTAAACTGGATGAATCATAAGCCGTTTAAAAAAGTTTAATGGGGAAAAGAGTTGTCATAGATTAATTGGGCATAATAATCACTACAATCTTTCAGATCCCAAGAAGACGCAGACCCAAAAGTCCGCTGCAGATTCATAAGCATAAACTCAAACAAACCCTTCAATCGCCAATCGTTTTCAAACAGAAACCATCAATACGACTTCTCTGGAGATTCATGTTTATTGTATTGAAGGAAGTTATGGGCAGGGAGGAACAAAGGCACTTGTTCTTATTTTTCATTTACCAAAAACTACTAAATATTATTCAACATGATTATTTGACATATTTTAAGAAGTTAAGGTCAGTATCTCTCTACAATTTACTGATATTTTCTTCTCTTTTGTCGTTAAGTGCATCTAGACTTCTACCTGGCGTCATCGGTGATACACTGATATTAGATACACAAGCCCGTTAAGCTAAAGCTTCTATTCGAATAGAAGCCCGCTAACAAGCAATACGTCATTGTTGACGTCCCTATCAAGAAACAACTCATGATAGCAGCCAAGAAGTGGATTGTTAGCAAAGACCTGTGCCTTTATCCAACGGGCCTGGTCGATATCCACCTACAAAGGTGCGACCAACCAGATGACAAGTGGGTAGTTCTGAAATGTAAAATCATTAACGAGTTCGGTAAGTAACAAACATAGAAACTATGATTCACTATAGATTCTCTGCAGTCGGCGAAAGATGTTTTACTTTCAATGTAAATACTGGAATCTCACCGTGGAAACACTTCTACGGATGAGAACACATTGCCACATCGGAATCTAAGCATGTCGGTGGTGCTATAGCGGATCAGTAAGTCACCTGCATCATCTAGTGAACTTTTTCAGCTTTGATGGGTTGTACAAGATTTTGCAGAACATATCCTCGGCGATTACTGACTTGAGTAGTAATGTTAAGCAGTTACTATCTAAGTCTAACGAACGCGAACAACCGCATCGATTCGATTGCTGGCTCTCCAGCTAGCAGTTACCTTTGTCATCTGAAGAGGAGCTGCAGATGCTGGAGACTGGTTTGCAGCAGAAAGGAACCAGAGACCGATTTGTAAGTCATCAACATTAATTTAATAATTTGTCCCGATTACAGATGGCAATGGTTACCAGGTTATCAGGTGATGATCCGAAAACCTCAATGCGGTATGTTCTGTCGTACCTCTTAACACCTGAGTTTGCCAGTAACTTCACGTTACTTGGAACTTCTTATAAACGCCCGCTTCTAAAATGTCGGTTTTACGGATGCATACGAAGTAACTCATATTTAATATTTAAACTTCAGGTGTGTTAACAAATCGCTTTTTATCATCCTCTGTCAACGAAAAAGATCTTGCGAAGCTGTACGACAAAGCCACACTAGGTTTTCACGATGTCAGAGACAAAGTGATAAAGCGTAAAAGAAGGAAAGAAGGGCAGGTATGTACTAATTTAAAGTGATAAAATTCCTTACGGCTCTATAGTTATAGTCATCAGTGTTAACGGACATAACCGTAAGTTTAGCTTAAAGTATTTGGCTGTGCCAAGACATGTCATTCAAATATTGTTGTGACTTTTTCTGTTTTTTAAACTTATTAATTCACAGGACGACTACTTCAATTCTCAATAGGCGAACGAATGTGGCTGAAGGGAATAATCCATGCAATGTTTTATGTCCTACCTACCTTTTAATAAACATTATTTTGTCAAAGAGCTTACTTTATTACTTATTTGGGAAACTATAGTAGTGTTGAGAATGTGTGTTTGAGTGTCAGTTAACTTTAGATTACATGCAAATACCTTATGAATAATACATCACCAGTTTCATCTTTTGTAGATCTTTTCAAATAACAATGAATTGGCAATTACAATGGATATACAAAACGATTGATGCTCAAGCTTCTGCTCTAATGTTGTACAATAACACGATTTTCCTCTTAAATAAAATTTTTTAGAGATACATCGGTTTTCCAGTGCATTGCAGTTTTATTTCGGTCTATTGTTGAAAATAAAGGAGAACATAGGAGACCTTTTGGGGTTATGTCAGTGGATCGAAAATAGGGAGTTCTGTGTGTATTTAGGCAAAAAGTAAACAATTAAGCGTATAAGTAGGCAATTCCGCGGAAATTTAGGCGAAACATAGACAATTTGGTGGACACTTAGGCGGAAAGTAGACAATTCAGCGGACATTTAGGCGAAAAGTGGGCAATTTATCGACAAAGCGGCAAAAAAGGGGGAAATCCGCAGTATCTCCCCCGGACAGGCGAAAAGGCGACATTCTGATGCGTTTTCCCCTTTATTTCCCCTTTCTCTTCCGAAGCACTTACCCCTTTATTTCCCCTTTGTTCGCCTTTATTTCCACTTTTTTAGTTGTTTTGGTCTATCTAGAACCATTTGAAACCATTCCACAGAATGGATTTAGGGTATTTTACCAAGGTAACATTTGACCAGAGGTAGGTTTTATCTTTCTTTCAAGAGTTTTGATGAAGTGAGTATTCAAATTTCGAGTGAATTTCATTGCTTACAGACTTGTCACAAAGTGTAGTTTTCTGAGAAACTATGTAACCAAGGCTTGTATTGTTCCAGTGAAACACATACTACTTGGGGTCTAAGAAAAATAGTATATTTTTTTCACGTTCAAACAGTAGAATTATACTGCGGGTGCTTGTGAACACTTAAGACAACAAACAACCTAGAACTGTGAATATATCAGTGAGTCCTTGTCAAATCAGCAACTAAGCCGAACCACTTCTGTGTTTGATGACAAATCAATGAATAATGGACAGTTCAGTTATGACTAATGCGAACTAATAGACAGGAAACCATGAACAAACATATACACCAGTGTTTCCACATTTGATGCTGACCTCGTTAGTTTTAATAAAAACATATAGCTGAGGACGCTCGGTCACGCATTCGCAACAAATCACGATTAGGTACGCCGTTCCACTAATATCCTACAGCCGTTAACTGGCTTATATTTAGTGCTTCTCGATATATCGGTATCTTTATGTTTTAACAGTAATATAATTTATTCACGCCAGTCACCAAGCGAAGGAATTTCCTTGTTTATCATGATGAGATAGGCCAGGTTGTGTGTGGACAATCAGGTGTACCTTCGAGGACGCCATACGTTTACAGCCCAAGCAGAGTAGATGGGTCACTCATTTACATGGGTGTTCCACATGATAATTAGTTAGGTTGCAGATAAAACGAGATTTCATATGTGCCACATAAATTGCTTTGGTCATCCTATATAAACTGGAGGGTGTACCCATCGAATTTCTAAACTTAATTCGGTACTAATGCTACTTGATATCACTCCTCGGCGTCTGTCTGGACCTCCATCCAAACCCGGCTACTAACCGCCTAAATCGTGTCGCAGCACTAGGTTTTTAAATCATTTGACGACAGACAAGTATACCAATACCTTGACTGTGCTCTTTTCAAATCAATGTCGATAAGGTGGATGCTAAGCCATCATTAACAATACAATAGAAGCCCTGAATATGTAAATTATTGGAAAACAAGTTTTCTTGAAGACATGGTGACAACACTTGATTACATTTTGGCTCTTCATGAGTTTCAGTCGGTGTTGCTTGCATTTTCAAATAAGCTTGATGAATTCTTCGTATGCCATGCATATGGGACAGAAAGCGACACTTCGTTTAAGCACCATCAGTGTTAACAACCAAACTTGTTGATTTAACGATCTCTACATACGCAGTGATTGCCTAACGTCAGGCATTATAAGAAGTAAAAACATTCGGTACTTAATCTTCTATGCTTATTCGATATGCCCTTTATTTTCTAGATGATCCAACCTAATGAATTCATAATCAAACGTGACAATAATTACACCTTACGTAACGTAAAATCAGGATTAAACAACAGATAATTAAAGTAATAACAATATGTTTCTGCCAGAGTAGGTACACGCCATTTTTACAGACAGGATCCATAATTTACAAGACTGATTTGAATATAAGTCGCTTTCCAGTTAGAACTCCAAATAGAAGGAATCTAAAAATAAAAGACGGTGCATTCGGGCAGGAATCTCAGAGAGTTAATAATTTGGTTTGGTACCGTATTATGAATGCAGTTTATATGGTCTGTTTCACAGACCATGGAGGATGAACACCAGGTCCAAACTTAGCATCATTGTGTTGGGATTCTGGTACTGCTAAGACGTTATACGAGACAGCTTTTTAAGAAGTTTATAATTGTAATAAAGTATATTTAAGGGACGCTTGGTATGAGCCCTTACTTTGAAAACGCCCACGTTAGGTTTGTTTCAGGTGTATGAAGCTTAATATTTGTGCACTGGGTGTGATGCTGGAAAGAGAAATAAAGGAGCAGCAAGGTATTTGGACACAAACCCCCAAAAATGCTTAATGGTCTGTAGTGGGATAGACAAAAGCATGGTAAGTCAGTAGATAAAAGTCATATTAACTTCCGCTACTAGAATGAAGTGTGGTTAGCGTCTTCATCTAAGAAAAAACAGTGATAAAGAAGAGTGAGTTGTGGTATGCAACAAGGTGAAACACGTTCAAATAAAGGATGGAGAGTGGAAGTTCGAATCAGGAAGGTCGTTTATTAAAATAGAAAATACATCAATATAGAGTAAAGTGTTAGGGAACTCCAATAACGACTTCCTTTGCTTTCTGTTCTTTTAATTCTCTTTTTTCATCAGATGCTAGCCATTAGGTCCTAATGCAAAAGTTCAAGTTAAAACTTAATAGGTTATCTTAGTAGAATTCAACATAAAATTAGAAACATGAGTCTCAGTAGAGAGTGTAGGAGACCAACCTTAGCATCTCTGGTTGATTGTCTCGTCTGAAATCATGAAAACCCTGAAACAAACGAAATATTCTGCCTGACAAATGTGGGTGGTTGGTGGTCAGCGACCCTAATCTCCCCTCTTATGATGTTGGGCTCGTTAAAATTTATTTTTAGATATTACACAATCCTCTGTGTTTCAAATCCTGTTAAACAACATTTACATAAACACCATTTTACAAGCTTATCAGGCTATTACAGATTATGGACTATGAGTAGGGCATCGATGCCATTATTATAATATATTTCTGCAAGGGCAGGTACACGCAATTTTTACAGGTATGATCTAC